AGCATAGATGGAATCATTAGCAGTGAAGCTAATTTAGCCCTGAAGTTGTCTCTTAAATTGTTCTGACAAAACTTAAAAGTCAACCTGGAAAGGGTCGAGATGACCTTAGGTCGCTGTATGGCACCACAAGGTCCAACTCACATTAAAGGAATACAGGAAAAAGCAGCTCATTTGCAAAGCAAAATGCACATTTTGTAATGCTCTGGGAGAACTGTAGCTGCAGATGTGGTGATTAAAATAAGCAAAATTCATTCTCATGGTTCTGAAATCAAAAAGTGTGAGATCAAGTAAATCAAGGGAGAAATCATAGAGGAGGTGGTAGAGGGCAGGTGTCACTCTGGTTTTCGGCTGGCAGAGGAAAGTTCTGCAGTGACGATGGAGCCAGCAGAAGCCCTGTTTTAGGAGGGGGTGCGCAGATGTAAGAGTTTATTCAACATAACTTGGCTTGCTATATTGCCTGAGGACATTATGAATATTGACTGTTGGCTTCCGTTCTAGATGAAAGTACAGGGAACAAGTAGACTGCTGAACTTGACGGCTCAGTGTTCCTGCCGGGGTCCTGAGGGTCCTTCAGAGTTAGCTATAACAATGCTTAATTTCTTGGATGATACTACAAAGAAAGTTCTATGTAGCATCTTATCATACAGACTAATTTTTTGAAAATACAAAATAGTATCCAGTGGATAGTGCTATTAAGACTGAAAACTGTGTGCTGGAGAGATGGCTTAGTGGTTAAGAGCCCTGAATGTTCTTGCCGAGGACCTCAGTACAGTTCCCAGTACCCACGGGGTAGCTCACAGCTGTTTATAACTGCAGTTCCAAGAGATCTTGCACTTTCTTCTGGCCTTCACAGACAGGTACCATACATATAAGCATATTACATATGCATGCATCCAGGCAAAATGCTCATACATATAAAAAAGAAGAAAAAATTAAAATGTGTGCATCAATAACCAAAGGTTAAGCCCCAGCTGGAGTAGTGCACGTCTATAATCCAAGTTTTCGGGAGGCTGAGGTAGCAGGATCATGAGTTCAAGGCCAACATGGGATCCATAGGAAAACCCTATGACTAGAGATGTAGCTCAGTGGTAGAACACTTGGCAAGTGTGTGTGAGCCTCAGTACCCACCCCTCCAAATAAAGAAGAAAAGAGAAGAGGGGAGAGTCAGACGGAACAAAGACCAGCCTGGCTCAGGGTGGTGCTGTATACCTGGCGTCCCACCGTTAGGGAAGCTGAGGCAGGAGGATCATTTGAGCCCATCCTGATGATTTAGTAAAACCTGGCCTCAAAATAACAAACAAATAGAAACAAGAGCTGTTCATGGCACTTTACTCAAGATTGTGTTTAATCAATTTGGCTTTAAAAAAAGAGAAGTTCTGTTTTGAATATCCACTGTTAGATAGTTTTTCCTAACTATAGGCTTAATACAAATTCTTAAAGTACATTTAAGGTATGTCAGGATAAGCTGTGATATTGGATAGATTAGGTATCTTAAGTACATTTTTCATTTAATGATATTTCAATTTCCAGATCTCTTATGAGATAACACCAACAAAACTCAAAGACCATGTGGTCTTTGAATGAACAAAGTGGATTTTATGAACGATTTCATTTCCCAGAACTTTTATTACTAACCTGAACATATAAGTACATATCTTTCTTTAAGCATTTTACATAGAAAGATTTCATTACTACTCTTTCAGTTCAGGAATTGAATCATATTTCAGAAAACAACATGCAGGGAACAGGCACACACACTGCCCTACATAGTGAGACACCAAATGTCATGGTACAGAAGACACACACTGACAAACTGTATACGGAGGCCTGCTGCAGCAGGAGGGTCCTCCCTGCTGCAACCAGAGGGTCCTCCCT